ACTTGAGCCACAGGCGCCGAGCCTACCTTACAGTTTTTTAAAGACTTTAGCATAATATTATCTCACTTGATTCCTACAACAGGACTGTGAGGGTTGGGAGCCCTGTATTATTATCACACAATGTAATCATATAGAAAACTCAGAGAGGCTAAGTCACTTGCCCAAAAACACAAAGCAAGTTGCAGGACTAGTGATGTGCTAGTAAACTGGCTCTCTGGAATTTAATAATAAACAAATAGCCCCGATTTGTAGTGTCTGCCAATTTCTGTGGTGGAAATGCTTCCACCATGGCCAATGATGTCATATGCTCACCTCCTGGGAACTGGCGGGGACAGCTCCCGACCAACACTGAAACCCCGGGCTTCTGACTCCAAATCTCTCTCCTCTGCTCCTCGTTGCTTTCCTATGTGAGAATGAATCTTTTCTCATATTTTTATATTTTGATTAAATATAAAATGTAATGTGATTTTTCTCTTAAAGTCATTTATTTATTTTGTTTGGGTTTTGTGCTTTTTAGACAGAATCTCACTCTGTTGCCCAGGATAGAGTCAGTTGCCCTTGTTGCTTCAACCTAGCTCACAGCAACCTCAAACTCCTGGGCTCGAGAGATCCTCTTGCCTCAGCCTCCGGAATAGCTGGGACTATGTGCACTCACCACCATGCCCTGCTAATTGTTTTCTACTTTTAGTAGAGACAGGGTCTCCTTGCTCAGGCCGGTCTCAAATTCCTGAGCTCAAGCAATCCTCCCACCTCAGCTTCAGCTTCCCAGAGTGCTAGAATTACAGGCATGAACCACCAAGGCCAGCAATTTATTTATGTTTTTAAAATTAAAGGCCCATATCTTAGCCTCTATTGCAAATCTGTATATTCTAGGCATTGCTTCAAGAGCCATCAAACCCACACTGGGATTGATTGATCCTCTGCACACCCTCCACATGCCTGCACGGGTGGTTGCCAACAGTGGCTTCGATGTGCTGTGGTAGGTACCAGTCCCGCCTAAAGGGCCTTTCTCTGCACCGGGTCTATGGCCAGCACGGTGTTGCTCAGAGCACTTGCTGAGCATTGGTTGATTCACACTCACAGGCTTTAACTGTCATTCACCCCTTTCCTAGATAAAAACACTGACGCTGTAAAGGGTGGTGATCTGGTGGGGTCTGGTGTGGGCTACAAACCAACTCTTCAGGGTAGACCCCCACCAACCATAGCTGTGGCCACAGGGAAGCAGCTGGAGGAGCAGTTTGAGCTGGTGAGCTGGCATACAGGGTCTCCGAACACACCATCTGCCCTGATGGCCACACTAATTGGGGAGCACCCCAGGCTGCTCGCCACAGAAGAGGGCCCAGGAAGGGAGCCGACACCTCCAGGCTTCTCCAGCTCGTGCAAGCTGTGTCACCACCTGACAGGCATCGTCACTTCACCACAGGGTCTTCACTACAAGACCTTTGTTTTATTGACTACAAAAAACTGGGTTTAAAATGTTTGGTGACTTGCCCCAAGTCTCACTGCATGCTCCTGGGCTTCAACCAAGACGTGCTGTCGGCCCCCTAATCAGCGTTTCCACCGCAGAGCTCCCTCCTGAGCCCCGGACCCCACGTGCCCCTCACATGTGGCGTGCCCACAGCTATCTTGGTCCATCCACGTGCACATGCACATTTTTTCATGTTTTAACATCTCTGGAATCAGGACAGATCTTAAAATTTACGGCATGACAGTATATTTTTATCCTCAGTGGTACATTTTCTGAAATGGTGTGTTTTATAATGCATGGCATCTTAAATTTGATGAAATCTGCTAATTCCCTGCATCCTCCCACACGCCACAGCTTCTCCTCCCGAGTCCCTCAGCTTAGCAAGTAGCAGGACTCAGTGTGAACTTCTGCCTTCTCTCGCGCCCACACCCAGCCTGCGGGTCCTGTCTCTTGTTCTGCTTGAATCTCTCTTCTGTCTGTTCCCTGGTCTCAAGCTTCATCGGCCATGCCTTGGTTCAGATCTGCCCAGTTCTCGCTTGGACTGTTGAGTAGCCTCCTCATAGGTGTCCCTGCTTCCCTCCCAGAGTCCTTCCATCTGTCCTCCACACTGGCCTCCACAAGCTTCCAGAATGTGATCTGACCATCAGACGTACATGCACACACACTCCCTTCTACCTTACCAGATTTTCAGTGGCTTTCCACACCTACTGTCCAAAGCCAAACTCCTAGGGCCCTGGAATGTCCCCCATAGTCAGCTCTATCTGCTTGGAGAATTTGTCTTTCAATTCCGTGGAAGTATCTACTCTTCAATGGAGTCTTTACTAAGCCTCCCTGCCCCTCTCCTCAAGCACAGCTGACCACCTGTCCCCCGTCCTTGCCCCTGTGGTGGCCCGTGTATTGTTTTTGAGACACTCTTCCCATGCTCATCTCCCGCTGCCCTGTGAGCGCGGTGAGGACGGGGCTATCCTACTCACTTCTCCGTCCCTGCCTCTTGGCACAGCATCTGCCACATCATGGGTGCTGAATCAGTCACTGTTGAAGGAGGTTCACACAAGCAGGTGGTAACAGAGTCAGGATTCACTTCCAGGTCTGTCCAAGTCGATGATCTGCAGCCTGCCAAGAGACTATTGGAAATTATGTCTAACCCTTTCTGTTTGATATCGATAAAACTTTGATTATTATCGGTCTCCCAATAATCTACAAATAAAATAAATAAGACTACCTAATTTAACTGTAAACTGCATAATCAATACATCATGGCCCAAAGCAGTCACCTTTGAGTGAATGACTCACAAGTGAAAGACGTCACTGTCAGTCGGGGGAAAGCAAACTCGGAAGGAAGGAGAATGGTGACACTGTCCAAGGGAGAACACCTATCCTGAAGACAGACAAGCCTGCAAGGGATTCCCCTGGTTAGGACTCCATGGCCATGCTGATCATACACCGGCCATCCTAGGCTTGACTACAGGGAGAGAAGGTGCTGTTGTGAAAACTCGGTGTCTGTCACCCTCAACAGTTATGCTTCTCACTAAAAACCAGTAATCTGGCTTCCCGGTTTTATACAGAGTTTGTGTGAACTCAGCTCAGTGAGTCTGCCCCTGAGATACAGATCTGTTCCTGGATTCAGCATTGAGATGCAATCTAGATGCACCGCAAGGCAGAGGTCAGACTCGGAACCACATCCAACTCAGTGGCCGCCCCGTCCTCCCCACATACACACCTCATTCTTCCATTGTTCATGCATTCCCTGCTTAGAACCACTAAGCCATAGCCTCCATCTTCCAAATACTTCTTGAAATTTTTCCTAGTGCTTTCTTCAAAAAATAATTATCTTGTGTCACTTGTAGAAGAAAGTAAATCTCCAACTACTTCGGAGGCTGAGGCAAGAGAATTGCTTGAGCCCTAGAGTTTGAGGTTGCTGTGAGATGTGACACCACGGCACTCTACAGAGGGGACATAGTGAGACTCTGTCTCAAAAAAAGAAGAAGAAGAAAGTAAATCCTCCATTCTAAAACTGAAAATGATAGCTCATGCAAATCGTAGTTCACATTACATTGTGTTCCCACCGCATCATTGATCTAGACCAGGATGTCTCTTCTCATCTTTTGCAGTTCATGGGCTGGAACCCGTGGCAGGCCAGCAGGTGGGGGCAGCTCTGAAGCTTAGCTCTTCATATCACCAACCCTGAGTTTCAAGTACATAAGAAGAAAAGATCTTTTTTTTTTTTTCAGGCCAAGAATCAATAATAATAGTGAATAATAAGCTTTTCAATGTGCAGGCACTATTCTAAATACATGTGTCAAATCATTTTAATTTTCACAGCTGCATTGCTCATCCCTGTCCTAGAGTCACAGGAAGGGTAGGGCCCCCTGCCATGTCCACAGCAGGGAGGTCCAAGTGCCAGGATTTACATCTGGGCAGCTAATTCCAAAGCGTGTTCTCTCCCCATATACCGGACCCTTAGTAGGAGTCTAGTCTAATTATGACCCTCTGGTAATATATTTGATCAGTGCAAGTTATAAAATGGTTAATATCGTCTATAAGAAGGCACTTTTTAGATTCAATACTTTTCATGGCTCAAATGTGTAATAATTCAGCATAAAAAGGATTTATTTACACTGGAAAAGGTCCATATATGATCTTCTACATACTGGTCAAAAACATCATTGTGCTGTCAATATAAACTTGACTCTCTTAATTTCTGTAGTAAGTAATGACTAGGACAGACGGCAGGTGGCTTGTGGAATGCTTGTGCCCATCAGCATCGAATAGCACGCCCGGAAGACAGTGAGCACCGAATGTTTCCCAGACAGCTAGCAATCATAACTGCGGCAAGGAAGAAGACCACGCTTTCAATCTGTGTATTTTAAATATTTCTTGTTAGCCATGCCCTGGAGTCATACACTGCCCTCCCCTATCACAAGAGGAGCCCCTGCCCTTCAAATCCCATGCTGCGTCCGGCGTACCAGGGCAGCAACCCGATCAGCGACCTCTGGTCCATCCATGCTCTGAGGATCGTTGCTAAGTATCTGAAGAGGTATGTCGTCCCTAAGGTGATAGAGACAGAGAAGAAAACCCACATTTCCCCCTTACATGAAATGCCACTTGCCTGTCCCGAACTGTCCTGAGCAGGTCTTTTTGCCAGATCCATCACTGGGTAGAGAGAAGCCCCAGACACCACCAGCAGCGTCTGGAGGGGTCAGAGGGAGGGGCAGATAAAAACTGGATTCCTCAGTCTGGAAGGCAAAAGCCACCAGGGGACAAAATAGGAGTCCCTAGTTTATGAAGGATGTAAACAGAATAAATGGAAGTTTATTCCTCAAAGTCTCAAGCCAAAGCTAGGATGAAGGGAGATGTCCCTTGAGATTTGGCTACACAGGTCAGAAGTGAGATGCACACCCAGGCCCTGTCAAAAGGCCTATGGAACCCACCCATTGAGCGAACTCGCATGAACTAAATTTAAGAAATTAATAGGAGAAAACGTGAGATATAACAAGATTCCTAAAAGGTTGTGCAAGATTTATGAATATAAATATAGACATACATGCTTTCCTAGGCACAGGCTATGGGACAGCACATGGCAGTCGGCTTTGGAGAGAGCAATACACTTAGAGGTGAAAGCTTGTATGAGACATGAGGACTTACGCAAAGTTGGACTGACTTCTGTATTTACACGTAATGGAAAGACAGAGCACAAGCAGGCTAGGCCTAGACATGAACACGGTGTCTCCACTGACCTTGAGCTAGAAGCTCCACTGGTGAGGGTTAGAGGTCTCGTAGGCAGTCTCCAGGCTTCCTTCCTGAGCCAGGGTTTCCACACAGTGAGTGCTGGGAGGCCAAGCATGATCTGAAAGCCGCCTTTGAGGATTTGCTTTTCCAAAGTGACATTGGGAACCCCGGAGCAAGCAAGGGCATCCTACAATAATATCCACTTCCACAGTAATTGTAGAATAGATGTACAACTCCCAAAGGTACCAAAGGAGGCCCACAGCCAGTGAGTTTGAGGCAATGTCACAGGATGGCTGGCCTGGCTGGGTCTGGCCTGCAGGTAGCCCCAGGCAATGGGGCTTACTTCAGTGAGCCAGTCTCCTTACTTGGTGCATTCTGAGAATATGTTTACTCTATATCCATTCACAGCTGCTGTCAAGGTCATTGACAAATGAAGAAGAAGAATGAGTCTCAGGCACTTTCCTAGAGCAGCTCTCACAACCCGAGGATGGGTGTTTTGTTTCCCCTGGCTCTGTTGTATCACAGGGGCAGCCTGACAGCATATTTATTATGTCTTTGCCAAAACCATTAATGAGAAAATATGTTTCCCTGTGGTTTTCATTTAGAAGACAAGGCATCATTTGAATAACTTGCCTAATTTTTCTTCCTACTGAGTAACATTTTTTTTTCTAGATCTTTCCTTAAGGCAGCTCTCTATTCAGTAGGAAATGCCAATGTTGATGTGTTATTGTTAGGTGTTTATATCATTCACAGGGCTGTCAAAAATCCTGACGATCTTGAAGCAAGGTCTCATATGCACTTGGCAAGTGCTTTTGCTGGCATTGGCTTTGGAAATGCTGGTGTTCATCTGTGGTAAGAGAATTTGAGATTTTATTTCTTTACTCAAGCTATTGCTTTAAAATTTTTAAATGTTTATAGTTCAAGATAGGTGGTAAAATTTAAGTATTCTATAGAAGGAAGAAATTTAACTTCAAGTTGCTAAATATTTTCTTAATTCAAAAGCAATTTATGCGGTCATGGATTTTTTTAATAAAAGCTTTTTAAGAGATAATTCACATACTTTACAATTCACCCATTTAAAATGTATAATTCGAATGATTTTTAGTATGTATACAAAGTTGGGCAAGCAGGCTACAATCTTTTTGAACTTTTTTTTTTTATTTTTGGACAGGGTCTTACTCTGTCCCCCAGGCTAAGTGCAGTGGCATTGTCGTAGCTCACTGCAACTTCAAACTCCTCCTGCCTCAGCTTCTCTAGCAGCTGAGCTACAACATGCCACCATGCCTGGCTAATTTTTCCATTCTTTGTAGAGATGGGGTTTCACTCTTGCTCAGGCTAGAATTTGTGAATACTTTATCATCCTCCCATAAATATCTCATGCCCTCTAGCTGTCACTCAACAAGCTCCACACAGCCCCCAGCACTAAGCAACTGCTGATTTACTTTCTATCTCTATGGACTTCCCCATTCTGGACATTTCACGTAAATGGGACCATATGATATGTGGTCTTTTGTGTCTGGCTTGTTTTTCTTAGCATGAAGTTTCCAAGGTTCATCCACATATCATTTCTTCATTCCTTTTTATTGCCAAATAGCATTCCACTGTGTGGATATACCACATTTTGTTTATCTGCCATCAGGTGACTGACACTCGGGTTGTTACACCTTTTGGCTAGTATAAATAATGTTGCTATGAACATTTGTGTGCTGGTATTCACTTCTTCTGTTATATACATAGATGTGAAATTGCTGTGTCATGTGGTGATTCTGGTTTAAATTTTGAGAAATTGCCAGACTTTTTTATATCTGCACCATTTTACATTCCCACCAGCTGAGGGTGAGGATTCTGATTTCTCTACATCCTCACTGTGGATTTTTAAAATTCAAGTGCACGATTGTTTTTTTCACCTAATCTCTCACAGAAATAAAGGGATCAGAATGTTTGTCAGTAGCCCAGAACTAATCTCTTTAACCAGGACTTCATTGGTATGTTGCTTTAAAATTGAGAACCAGTGAACTTTGAGAATTAAGAATAGTTCTTTGGCCAGAGGAGTGCAATCAAATGGTCGTCCTCAAACTTTGCTGCTGTTTAGAGCATAAATTGGTAACATGTTTCAAAAAAGCAAGTCAGTAAAATGTACCTAGAGCCAGACAAATATTTATGTCCTTTGGCCCACTGATTCACTTCTAGGAATCAAACCTAAAGATATATTCATGATATGATAAAATAACTTCATTGTAAGAATGCTTGCCTAAGTGTTACTTACAACTGAAAAACTGAGAAGCAACCTAAATTTCCAACGGTACTTAAGGAATAAAATAAGGATGTTAAAAATAATATTTTAAAACAGAAAATTACATAAGAAAGATTTACAAGTAATGCTAAGTAACAAAAGTAATGTATAAAATTATGTGTACTAATGCATATGTACTGTATATGTATATTGTGTGTATTTACATGTATGTAAATTAAATATGTGCATCAAAGGACTAGAAGGAAGTGAGATTATGGGTGATTTTTATTTTCTACAAGGAACATACAACTGTTAAAAACAATCAACCTAAAAGATTTAATATTGCTGAAAGTTACCTTTGAAAGCTACATCAGCCCTTTCACATCACAAAAGCACACTAAGCAATAATTTTCTGAATACTGTGGACCCCAAGAGAAGTTAAGCACATCCCAAAGTACCCAACAACTCAAGAGAACCAGCAGCTTCCATTGGTTTCCAAAGGATGGGCTAGAGCACCTTCTTTGAACAGATGCTCATCCAGCTCACCACAGTATGTCTTTCCATGAAATGTGAATCTCTTGCTGAATAACCATGAAGTCATCCAATAACCCACATTAAGACTTACAGGCCAGGCGGTGCCTGTGGCTCAAAGGAGTATGCCAGAGGTTGGGGGTTCAAACCCAGCCCTGGTCAAAAACAACAACAAAAAAATCACTTAAAAAAAAAAGACTTACAGACCATTTTACATGTATAAAGCATTTCATTTTCAATGAACTAACTTGTCACAATGTTTATCTTCTGAATCATCTAGCCAATTATAATATTTCTTTATTTGTTCACTGAGAATTCAGGAAGATATAAGGAACTACAGTAAAAACAAAAACCACGGTATCTTTTCTTAGTGCCAACTAAATCTAAATAACTCCTGAAGGTATAATTCAGGCCCAAGGAATCAGTCCAATAGAACTGCCTAGCATAGCCTCTATAATCATTTATGACACGACTCAATTAATATGAAATGTTTGAAAGGATCTATTATTAACAGGACAAATCACTGGTGGGTCAAGCTTTCATGTCATCAAATGCAGCACATCTTGACTCAACAAAACTTCCCCTGACATCGTCAGCTGGTGCAGGAGCACACTGCCCAGCAGGTACCAAGGCCAAACAGAAAACACATGCCCAGAGTGTGTGACAAAAACGTCAAAGTGAATTCTCCCTTCTTCAAGATCATAAGGTTAACCAGTGTGTTTGGGGAGCCACTTCTGGATGGATACTTTTTAATGGTGTATGGTACTATGAGCATTTGAATTTGAACCTTTCAGAGGTTTTGTTAATTAATACACTGAATGTCCTGTGTGTCAGAGTATAGCCTTACAAGTATCCAAAAAAGCAAAATGTGTTACTTTTTGCAATAACAGTACTTTCCAGAGACTGTAAACAGGCTCTGTCATAAGATTTTGCTTGGGTTGTTAACATTCCCCAGTATCTGTATGTTGACATAGGATTTTCTTTCTTTTCTAGCCATGGAATGTCTTACCCAATTTCAGGTTTAGTGAAGACATACAAAGCAAAGGATTACAATGTGGATCACCCACTGGTGGTAAAATAATATTAATAAATACTTTAATTAACTCTTATATTCCTCACAATGTCCTTAAATATATTTGTCTATTCTTGAGTGCTCAGGGTCCAGGGTGAAGTAGCTCAGTATCTGGGATAAGCAAGGAAACACGTCCGTCACCGTGCATCCTTTCTCCCCAGCCCCATGGCCTTTCCGTGGTGCTCACGTCCCCCGCGGTGTTCACTTTCACTGCCCAGATGTTTCCGGAGAGACACCTGGAGACCGCAGAAATATTAGGTATGAACTATTCCTCACAAAGCCATGACCCATACAGATGGAGCATTTCCAAGAGTTGCTTCTGAAGATACACCCTACAGGACAATAACAAAAAATGTTGCTTTGGGATAACTTAATAATAAAATGCTGGTGACTTGCCGAAAGTCCTATCTTGCACTAAAATTCTGAAAATTTGTGTTTCAAGAGTCTGCTCACAATGAAATGGAACTCTGTTTCCACACCAAAGGAAATTATGACTATACATTTTAATGTTATAAATGTCTTTTGCTATGTTTAATTGATAATAGAATGACTCAAGCCCAGGAAACAATAATTTCTCAGTCATAGAGAATCAAAACAACTAGAAACTTGGTAAAAATTTCCCAGAAGAGGAATCTGTTTGCCATACCATAGAATAAGTGCTGTTTATAAGATACCCACAGTACCTTTTAAATCTTACCAGAAATAAAATGACATTCAGGATAGCTTTAATGTGAGTACAATTCTGGCATTTTCTAATACAAAAAGTCTTTTAAATAGATTTGAGGATTTGATTAATTTGCAAAAACATCTCATTCCACGGCTTGTGTTCAGTTAGAGTAGGAAGGGAAAGGCTAAAAAGAAAACATCATTACGCTCTTCTAGCCCAGCCGTTGGCGAGATTATTTTATTTCCAGCGAGGTGGGAAGGACCACAGACATCCTCTTGCCTGTGCTCCTGCAGGCCCAGGTGCTGTGCAGGGAATGTTAATAGCACAGCTTGGGGCAGAGAGTGGGGTGAGAGCTTTATTTCCTCCTGGGTGCTATAGGGAAACAGCACCAAGTATCTGGTCCCTTTTTGTTTTGGGGCTGGAGGTGTTATTCAGCATCAGCATGGTGGAACTCAGCTCCCTTTGTAAATACGGTAAACGAGAAAAACTTGAGAGAACGTAAAGTTAACCCTGCAGGCAACCAGCAATATTATTGAAAAAGCAGTTCCTCTGTTAGACAAACTCCAGGCTGGAAGAACCCCATTCTTTCTCCTTAAATAGAAAATTGTGATGTTATTCCACATTTAGCCATTCAATAGTTTTGATTCTGTATGTAACCTTAGATTTTTCTTAACTTGGATTAACTATGGATTCTCTTTCCTAGCATCTCTTTTTTTTTTTTCTAAAACACTTCATAGGAAGCCACAGAGGTTTCGATGGTGTGTTTTATGGCAGCAATCCCGGGAATGTAAAAACCTCATAAACCCCGCATCGTGTGTCACCTCCCCACCTAATCCATATTTTAGCAGCCGCTGGGCAATAAGACTGGTCTTGCCAGGCAAGGGTTAGCTTTCCTCCAGCCGCTCTCCCAGCGAGCCGTGTATCTTGTTCGGCCTTTTCCTGGATTACGGAAACAGTTCTCACTTTCACAGAAGAGAAGCTAGAAACAATTTATTAATGTGCTTCACTATGGAGGTGAACTGGACATTCAGGTCCCCTTTTGAACAATACGAGAGAACGCGCAGGTGGCATTTGGGGCGGACTTGATGTAAGGCTACATTATGTCTGTGGAGTGTTTGCTTCTGGACAGTGAATGTGTTCAACTAGAATAGACGGGGGTTGGGGATGCTAAGAGCTGTGAAATCAGTCCCCTCCTCTGGGGTCTGTCACAGCCACCCTTCCAGACGTCAGAAC